CATTTCAACTCGACACCCAAGCAAATTCTGGCGCTAAAATTTTAAGATTGGGTTCCCCGGCCAAGTGCCATCCCAGGACCGCGATACCAACCCTCAAGCACGTCTAGGCCCCGCGTACGAGCGCCTTGAAGTTGTGGCGGGAGAATCGCTAACTCGAGAAGCAGGAAAGCTAGATAGCTGAAATTTTGGGATTATGTTTCCAGTCCAAGTAGAACTCAAAGGTTTTAAACTCAACCTCGGGGGGAGGGGAAGAGGGTTCATAGTTCCCGCGTATGGCCCCGTTAGGGTTCCTGGCGCGAAAATTGCTAGCTCGGGAACCAAGAAAGCTGGGAGGCTGAAACTTTCAGGAAATGGTTCCAACTCATCTGCAACTTAAATTTATCAAATTCAGTCCCCCGTTATGCGTGGTTGCCACTACTGCCTCGTGAAAGTTCTTGGCGGGAAAATGGCTAACTGCAGAACCAGGGAATCTGGGAGGCTGAAAGTTTCAGAAAATGTTTCCAACTCATCTACAACTTAAATTTACCATATTCAGCCCCTCGTTATGTGTGGTTGCAAAGTACGGCTCCGTGAAAATTTTTGTCAAGAAAATGGCTAACTCTGGAACAAGGGAAGCTGGGAGGCTGAAACTTTCAGGAAATGTTCCCAATTCATCTACAACTTGAATTTATCAAATTCAGCCCCCGAATATGCATGGTTGCCATGTACGGCCTCGTGAAAATTTCTGGCTGGGAATTTGGGTAACTCGGGAACTGAGAAAGCTGGGAACCTGGGATTTGGAGGGAATGTTCCCTGTTCAATTATAGCGTGGATAATTAACTTCTCGAAATTCGAGGACCGTTATGTACAAGAGGTTTCTAGCTAGCGGAATTTCGAGTGATCTTATTGCAGCACGAAAAACTGCAAAAACGCATGATGGCATGGGCTCGCCCAGTGCGCGTCACCAATGATTTAATGATGTAATGACGGTTCGGAGCAATCAGTTTGTGGGTATCCCATGTTAGCAGTGTTACTGTGGAGCTGTTACTGTACTATACGATGATTCGAGGTCCATGTGTTCATTTATTTTGCTTATATCCTTAGGGACTATCATGCTGACTTTATGCCTTTTTCTAATTTACTCGCCCTTCGTGTTTCTTGCTGCACTATG